CCCTTCCTTCTGACTTTCCTATCCTTCCTTCCTTTCATCTTTCCCCTCTTACCTGTCCCTCCCTCCCTCCCTCCCTTCTGTCTTTCCTTTTCTTTCCTTCCTTCCTCCCTTCCTGTCCCTCCCTTCTGTCTTTCCTTCCTTCCCCTCCTTCCTTCCTTCCTTTCCGCCCTCTCTCCCTCCTTCCCTCCCTTCCTTCTGTCTTTCCTTTTCTTTCTTTCCTTCCTTCCTTCCTCCCTTCCTGTCCCTCCCTTCTGTCTTTCCTTCCCCCTCCTTCCTTTCCCCCTCCCTCCCTCCCTCCCTCCCTTCTGTCTTTCCTTCCTTCCTTTCCCCCCTCCCTCCCTCCTTCCGTTCCTTCTGACTTTCCTATCCTTCCTTCCTTTCATCTTTCCCCTCCTACCTGTCCCTTCCTCCCTCCCTCCCTCTCCCTCTATCTTTTTTTATATCTATCCTTACTTTAAAAAGTAAATGTACTTTTAAATATACTTTTAAAAGCCATGATGGTCCTTCCAGTTTGCAGTTGGAAATGGCTATAGATTATCACACGCTCCATCCAATAAGAACATTACAGTTAAGCAGTTCCCAAACTCTCCTTCCAAAGCCAGCCTGGTGACTGGACCCACTTTATGCACTTCGCCTTCTAATTATTACCGGGATCCCAATAAACTTGGGAGTAAAGAGATCCTTCAGGATATACATTCTTCCACCAAAGGTAGTTCCCATCATCCCTGTGATGTATGGAACTTGTAGTCCAGCGGCTTATTCAATACAGGTAGTTCCTGGAGTCACGTGATCCCCTTTTGTGACCTTCTGACATGCAAACTCAGTGGGGACGCTGGATCCACTTAACAATCGTGTGACTGACTTAATAGCCGTAGTCATTCACTTAAGAACTGTAGCAAGAAAGGTCGTAAAATGGGGCAAAGCTCAATAACTGTCTCAGCAACAGACATTTTGGCCTCAGTTGATGGACGTAAGTCGAGGACTACCTGCATAAGGATATAAGATGGGGACTCCTGTCCAAAGCGATTAATTCTGTTTTTAACTCTTCCTTCCCAGCTACTACAGATCTCACTACGTCTGGAATCAGCCTGTCAAAAGACACAGAGCCCAGTCTGGTAAGAGAGAGACCTTTGAATTATTTACTGCTGGATTAAGATGGCAAAAAAAATCACATTTTAAGCTTATTATTCCATAGAATGAGAATCTCCCTTTTGAATAGGGAGCAAGTTAGCCTTAAAGCTGAGGCTTCATTCAGTAATACTATTGTAAGTTAATACTATTGTAAGTTAATGTGGGGCAGCCAGTGGCATTGTAGTTAAAGTATGTTACAGGAGTGGAGAAATTCAACTTTTTCTATAATCTTGGAAGCATCTGAAATGACCTGGGCCAGGAAGACTCTGTTGGGCCTGGCTGTTGTTGGCTGAAATTGGAAACATTATTATAGACTTTGCCTTGAATTCAGAGATTGAATCTTAATCATTGCATCAATGGAGATATGAAGTGGAGGGCAGTCCTTTGTGCCAGCCTCTGTTTTGCTGTGAGCGTGAGACGCAGTTCTCCTGAATGACGGCTTAGTTCCTTGGAAGCTGCTGCTCGTATTTTAACGAAGACCGTCTGGGCAATCTTGAAGTTCTTAATTTTCTTTTAGCCTTCCCTGACGGACTTCCACCAAGCGTTTCAAGTGGTGCTTGTGGACTCTTCTGGACTGGTGAACCTGTGTGCGGATATGACTGCCAACACTTACAAGCAGGTAAATATGGGAGGGGGGAAGTTACTCATGGAGTAGGTTACTAGGAGGTACCGTGTTTCCCCTAAAGTAAGGCCTACACCAACAATAAGCCCTAGCTTGATTTTGGGAGGTGGGCCTAATATAAGCCCTATCCCAAAAATAAGCCCTAATTTTGGGGCGAGGCACACACCTAAAAATCAAGCTGGGGGTGTGGAGAGCTGCCCCACCCGCCCCACACCCATTTACCTTGCAGCCAGGCCTTCTCGGCTCACTTTTTTTGCAGCGTCTTCTGCAGCCAGGCCTGCATTTCGCAGTCCAGAGGCCTTTCCAAGAAGGCCACTGTAGCTGAGGACCGAGCTATGGATTCAAGCCATAGCTCGGTTCTGCAAGAGATCTACAGCTGAGGACTGAGCTATTGAATCCATAGCTCGGTACTCGTCTGCAGAGGCCTGACTGCGAAATGCAGGCCCGAATGCAGCTGCAGAACTTCGGCCCCAGAAGAAGTGGACTGGCTGAGTGGAGCTGTCGTTGCCAGAGGTGAGGTAAGGCCTACCCTGAAAATAAGACCTGGTGCCTCTATTGGAGGCAAAAAATAAAAATTAAAAAACGGTTTTATTTTCAGGGAAACACGGTAGTAGCTGCTAAGTGGAGAGTTTGAAAGACTCCACAATCCACCCTGAGGTTGGATCCCATTACAGAACTAGATCGGTTTACAACATTACCCTCGATGTACGACCGCAACTTAGCCCAACATTTCCGTTTGCTAAAAGTGAGACATTTATAAAGTGAGTTTTGCCCCATTTCACGGCCTTTCTCGCCACAGTTGTTAAGTTAGTCACACCGTTGTGAAGTCAGCTTCCCTGCTGACTCTTTGCTTGTCCGAAGGTCGCGAAAAGGGAAGATGTGACCCCCCCTGGGACGCTGCGACCGTCATAAATATGAGTCAGTTGCTGGGTGTCTGAATTTTGATCACATGACCAAACTTGCTGCCACGGTCGTAAGTGTGGAAAACGGTCACAAGTCACTTTTTTCTAGTCTCCTTGTAACTTTGAACGGTCACTAAACGAATGGTTGTAATTCAAGGACTACCTGCACAATTTCATAAGGGACTATTAATTGCTACCTAGCTAGTCTGGTCCAAAGTGATGGCTGCAAAGATGCCTTCAGAGAAGAAAAAAATGCCCTGCCCTCAGCCAAGAAGCCTGTGTACAGGCAGTCTTCGACTTACTACACTTCACTTAGTGACCGTTCGGAGTTACAACGGCACTGAAAAATGTGACTTAGAACATTGCGGCATCCCCGTGGTCACGTGATCAAAATTCAGATGCTCGACCACCGACTCATATTTACGACCGTGGCAGTGTCACAGAATCACTGCAGTAATTCCCTTAATACTGGGACAAGAAAGGCCATAAGATGGGGCAAAACTGCATTTAATAAACGTCTCACTTAGCAACAAAAACTTTGGGCTCAGTTATGGTCGTACATCTCGGACTCCCCCGTACTCGCTGATACATAGGTGGTTTTTGTTCTTTTTTAGGTCCAGTTTGAAGCCAGGCAGTCGATGGAGGTTCTGGATGACAAAACAGTGGATGGGTTTCAGTTGCTCTTTATCACCCCCAAGCCTCTGATCCGGACCTTTGATCACGTCTTTCAGTAGGTGGCTCGCAAAAGAATGGCTGGCACGGAGGGACGGGCTGTTTTCCATGGTTATCAAGGCAGGCAGACAAGCAGACGTGGGGCAAAAAAAAGGATATTATCTTTCCTCCCACCATTTAAAACAAACAAATCAAAGTTTCTAGTCCATGCTGTTGGAGAGGAGTGTTTGGAGGGCTTGCAAGGGTTGAAAGGTGGGGAAAGAAAGTATAGAGATTGAATGATAGATAGATAGATAGATAGATAGATAGATAGATAGATAGATAGATAGATAGATAGATAGATAGATAGATGGATGGATGGATGGATGGATGGATGGATGGATGGATGGATGGATGGATGGAAGGTAGGAAGGCAGGAAGGTAAGATAGAGATGGATATATAGAAAGGTAAATAAGATAGATAATAGGTAGGTAGGTAGGTAGGTAGGTAGATGGATGGATGGATGGATGGATGGATGGTAGGAAGGTAGGAAGGCAGGAAGGTAAGATAGAGATGGATATATAGAAAGGTAAATAAGATAGATAATAGGTAGGTAGGTAGGTAGGTAGGTAGATAGATAGATAGATAGATAGATAGATAGATAGATAGATAGATAGATAGATAGATGATAGATAGATAGATAGATAGGAAGATAAGATAGAGATGGATGGATATATAGAAAGATGAAAGGTAGGTAGGTAGATAAGATAGATAGATAATAGATGGATGGATGAAAGGTAGGAAGATAGAGATGGAAGGATATATATAGAGAGAGGGGGGGAGAGAGGGAGGGGGGAAGATGGATGGATGGATGGACAGATGGATAGATAGATAGAAAGAGAGATGAAAGGCAGGCAGATGGATAGATAGATAGATAGATAGATAGATAGATAGATAGATAGAAAGAGAGATGAAAGGCAGGCAGATAGATAGGAAGTTAGATAGAGATAGATAGACAAACAAACAGGTAGGAGAGATCAATACTAGAGAAAGTGAAAAAAAATGGGCTATTTTTTCTGGTGATAAAAAGCCACGCTCCCTGGGGATTCTAGGAGTTGAAGCCTAAGACTTCTCGAAGACTGCAGGTCTACAGATCCAGATCTAGACAGATCTATAGATCCACGTTTTGCTTAACACAGAGTTTTAATTTGCTTCCTTGTGAGCCCTCTCGCCCTCCAAGCTGCTCGTCTATTTGCTCTGTGAGAAGCTTCCTGCGTGTCGCTCACGGCTCTCCTCCTGTCCTTCAGCCTCCGTCACGTCTCCAAACTCCAGACGGCTTGCAAGAAGATGCAGCTGCTCAACGCGTTGATGGACCGGGGTGGGAGTTACGTGGCCGCCGTCCTCCCGTTCTTCCTCAGCCTCCTGGAGCGCGGACTGGCCCGCCGGCTGGTGCTCCTGGCTCATCAGTTGCCTCAGAGCCATCCGGTAACTTCAGCAAAAACTTATTTTCCCGGCCTGCTGAAAGAACCCAGAGCTTAGGATTGTGTGGTCCTTTTAATTGTCACTTAATCCATGGCCCTTCACATACTGGCCCACTATCAGTGCCAAACTGTCACAAGATCACACATGGAGGTAGTCCTCAACTTACGACCATTCATTTTAATGACCATTTGAAGTTACAACGGCACTGAAAAAGTGACCTGGGACCGGCCGGTTTTCACATTTACAACCCGTGACATCACGTGATCAGAATTCAGACGCTTGGCAAGTGACTCGTATTTATGATGGTTGCATTATCCCGGGGTCATGTGACAAAGACTCCTGGCTTCTAAGGATTCAGAATATTATATTGAAGTTTACTTTGCAGGTTATGGAATGGAATAGGAATAGAATGGAGTGGATTGGACTGGACTGGAATAGGGTAGGATAGGAATAAGAATAGAATAGAGTAGAATGGAATGGAATGGAATAGAGATAGAATAAGAATAAGGGATTAGGATTTGGAATAGAATAGAATATATGGAATAGAATAGAGAATATAGAAAGACTAGAATGGAATGGAATAGGAATAGGGTAGGGTAAGGTAGGAATAAGAATGGAATGGAATTAGAGTAGAGTAGATTAAGAATAGAATAGAATAGAAAATATGGATTCGAATAGAATAGAAAATATAGATTCGAATAGAATAGAATAATAGAGTTGGAAAGGGGCTTGGAGATCATCTAGTCCAACCCCCTGCTCAGGCAGGAAACCCTATACCAGTGATGGCGAACCTTTTAGAGTCCAAGTGCCCAAACTGCAACCCAAAACCCACTTATTTATCGCCAGGTGCCAGGTGGGCGTGGCCCACTGGGTGGGCATGGCAGACTGGGTGGGTGTGACCAAGGTGGGCGTGGTCACCTCGATGTTGCTTGTGGGGAGGGACGCCTATGGGGGCCGGGCAGGGTTGGGGGAGTTCCAGGGGGTCTCTGGCAGGTGGGGCGGTGGGCAGGAAGCTCGTCCTGCGCGGTGAGGCGAGGCGGGGGGGTGCCATTGTCACAGGGCAAGGTGATGCCAGGACGGCTGCTGCCTGACACTATCAGCCCCTGCACACAGAGGCCAGCGAGCACATGGGTGCTGGGATGCATCCGGCTACGTGGGACCTCGGCGAGTTAGCTGGTGGCTGGTTGAAGAGGGACGGTTGCCATCTCTGGGGCATGGCCCGCGTGCCCATAGAGAGGGCTCTGAGTGCCACCTCTGGCACATGTGCCATAGGTTCGCCACCACTGCCCTATACCATTTCAGACAAATTGTCGTCCTTTGCCATATCCCCAGTCTGAAGATGACAGTGCAGTCCTCAAAAGCTCCTATTTGAGGGCCACCTGGTAGGTGCTTCTGGTTTTTTCCTAGCTGCCTTCGCTAATTTTTCTCTTGCTGTATTATTTCGTTCCAGTGGCCGATCCATGTGGATCCCCCAAAGCACAAAGACGTCGGTTCCTTATCCTTCGGACTGTTGCTAAATCTTGACTTCGCAACCAGTGTTTTGGAGCGAGGACCTGAAGCCAATAAAGAGGAGGTGAGAACCAGGTTAGGCTGCTTATTACTATCTCTTCTCTGTAGATCAAAAATCTTCAGCCAGTGCAAGATTTGACCATAATAATAATAATGGATGGAAACTAATCAAGGAGAGAAGCAACCTAGAACTAAGGAGAAACTTCCTGACTGTTAGAACAATTAACCAGTGGAACAGCCTGCCTCCAGAAGTTGTGAATGCTCCAACACTGGAAGTTTTTAAGAAGAGTCTGTCCTGAATGGTATAGGTCAGGGGTAGGCAACTTTGGCTCTTTTATGACTTGTGGACTTCAATATCCAGAATTCCTGAACCAGCCATGCTGACTCAGGAATTCTGGGAGTTGAAGTCCACAAGTCATAAAAGAGCCAAGGTTGCCTACCCCTGGTATAAGGTCTCCTGGTTGAGCAGAGGGTTGGACTAGATGACCTCCAAGGTCCGTTCCAACCCTGTTATTCTGTTAATTAATCAATGCAATGGCTTGCCTCCAGAGATTATGGATGGTCCATCACTGGAGGTTTTTCAGAAGACACTGGACAGCCATTTGTCTGAAATGGTATAGGGTAGGGGTAGGCAACCTTGGCTCTTTTATGACTCGTGGACTTCAACTCCCAGAATTCCTGAGCCAGCATGGCTCAGCTTGGAAACCTCTCCCTTTCCCCTCAGCATAGCTGGCTCAGGAATTCTGGGAGTTGAAGTCCACGAGTCATAAAAGAGCCAAGGTGGCTTACCCCTGGTATAGGGTCTCCTGCTTGAGTAAGGGGTTGGATTAGAAGACCTCCAACGTCCCTTCCAACTCTGTTATTCTGTTATAGACCCGATGGAATCTCTAATTGTTAAAATACTTGAATTGCCTCATAGTTGTTGAAGGATAACACACCGAGAAGGGGAGGAACATACCTCTCTTATGTCTGTTCCTGTAGGCCGTGGAGTTTCGGCAATTTTGGGGAGAGCGGTCGGAGCTGAGACGTTTCCAAGATGGCGTCATCTGCGAGGCCGTTTTGTGGAACGCTGCAAACCTGTGCCAGAAACGTCTTATTCCGGAGCAAATCATACGTCATATCTTGAAACTGTGAGTCGACTCTGATAACCCTTCCATGTAGGAGAACGTGAGGATGGAACAGAAGACTTATTTTCTCAGAAACCTCTTGACCTCTCGCTTTTAATTTCAGACACTTGAAAATTAATAGGACCCTAACTGGATAATGCAGGAGTGAGCAAAGTTCTGCAAGATAATCCTTTTTTAACAGAAACAGAGGCTTAAAGTAGAATGCAGGCTGTATGTTAAGAGCTTTTTTTTTATTAGAGAATATTTGTAGCTCTTGGTTGAATAGTGAGATTTTGGGTGCTCTGTGAACTGGGTTGCATCCTTGCAGACGTTTCATGACCCAACTAGGCAACATCATCAGTACTAGAAGAGAGTGGGTTTTGTTCACTGTTTAGATACAACTGGTTTGGTTAGAAGGGAATATTTGTAGCTCCAGGTTGGACTGTGGAGCCCTTGGTGCTCTCTGAGCTTGGTTGTTTCTTTGCAGATGTTTCGTGACCCAACTAGGTAACATCATCAGTTAGCATGCTAGAAGGAAGTGGGGTGTTTGGACAGGAGGAGGAGGAGGAGGAGGATTATTGTGGGACCTTAGTGGTCTCTGAGCTTGATTGTTTTCCTGCAGACATTTCATTACCCAACTAGGTGACATCATCAGTGCTAGAAGGGAGAGAGGTGTGTGGAGAGGAAGAGGAGGATGGAGGAGGAGGAGGAGGAGGAGGAGGAGGAGAAGAATTGTGGGGTCCTTGGTGTGCTCTGAGCTTGATGGTTTTCTTGCAGACGTTTCATGACCCAACCAGGTAACATCATCAGTGCAAGAATGGAGGGATGTTGCCTGCCATTTATGTACTAATAGCTTACCCTGTCAGTGTTGATGGGAGTGTTCTTTGTGGTGCCTTGACGAGACTGTTGTTTACTGCTTGATTGTTGTCTAATATTAATTTAGAGAGAGAGACCAATAAAAGAAAATATTTGTAGCTCAGGGTTGAATTGTGAGGTTCTTGGTGCTCTCTGAGTTTTGCTTGCAGGTGTTTCATTACCCAACTAGGCAACGTCATCAGTCATCAAGAAAGACCAAGCATCCTACAGAAATCTTAATTCCAGCAGAGGTTCACTATATTCACCCATTGTACTAAACCAGGGGTAAGCAACTTTGGCTCTTTTATGACTGGTGGACTTCAACTCCCAGAATTCCTGAGCCAGCCATGCTGAGGGGAAAGGGAGAGGTTTCCAAGCTGAGCCATGCTGGCTCAGGAATTCTGGGAGTTGAAGTCCACGAGTCATAAAAGAGCCAAGGTTGCCTACCCCTGTACTAAACCATGGCTAGTTTTCACCACTGTGTGTTGAAGATGCCACAATGATCATCGTGCACAGCTGTAAATCTTGGTTTGCAAGCCATCTTGGCTGGCTTTAGACGTTGCACCAAGCTGGCATCAAGCCAACCATTGTATCTTTGTTTAGGGGGATGCCTGAATGCAACCCTAACTTTTGGCAATTTCAGAAGATGTTCCAGAGGCAAGAAGAACGCAGACTGACTTTGAAGAAGAAATATTTCTAATGCTGCTTGGTCTTCCTTGTTTTCTTTTCTGTGCAGGCACCTGGCTGTTCCAGAGACTTCCATCTCTTACACGGGGGCCCTGCTGGAGCCCTTAATTAAAGTGGGGCGTGAGGTGAGGTCCTATTCCATCTTTCTCCTTGTCTTCTTTGCCATCCCTGAATGTCTCTTGAGATATTTGCCCAAGGAGATTCTCTTCTCCTTTTTCCACTGGGGATGGCCTGGGAAATAAAATAACTCCGCAACATAACCCTCTAAACAAGGGCTCTTCAAACTTGGCCCTTTTATGATTTGTGGACTTCAACTGTGCATGGCTGAGGAATTCTGGGAGTTGAAGTCCACAAGTCGTAAAAGGGCCAAGTTTGAAGACCCCTACCCTAGACCATTTCAGTCCAGTCTCTTCTTAAAAACCTCCAGGATAAATCTCCTTCGGCTGCGATGAAGGCTTTGCCAAATCTATGGTTTGGGGAAATAATGCTGGAAGGGACCTTGGAGGTCTTCTAATCCAGCCCGCGGCTCAGGCAGGAAGCCTTATACCAGTGATGGCGAACCTTTTAGAGACCGAGTGCCCAAACTGCAACCCAAAACCCACTTATGTATCATCGGGTGCCGGATGGGCGTGACCCATTGGGTAGGTGTGGCCAATTGTGTGAGTGTGGCCCATTGGGTGGGCGTAGCCCATTGGGTTGGCGTGGCTTCGGTGGTAACGGCAGACTGGGTGGGACTAAAAAGTTCAATCAATCAATTCCAACTTTGCAAGATCTTTTGTTTTTTCCCGCGAGAAGCTGAAATTGATTGATTGATTGAACCTTTTTTTTCCACACGGCAGCGGTGGACTAAAGTGAAAAAGGTTTTATAAAACCCAGCTGAAGGCCTAAGACTGGGGCGACGGCACGTGTGCCCACAGAGAGGGCTCTGAGTGCCACCTGTGGCACGCGTGCCATAGGTTTGCCACCACGGCCTTATACCATTTCAGACAAATAATTCTCCAATCTCTTCTTAAAAACTTCCAGTGATGGAGCACCCATAACTTCTTCTTTTTTATATATATAAATATTTTATTAAATTTTATGCAGGTAGGGAAAGGATAGGGTCGGTACCGGTGTGGGGAAGGGGTAGAAGGAGGGGATTCAGGATGGGGTAAGGGTAGGCACAGTAATGGGCTAACCCCCAACAATAATTCCATGCTTTAACAAGCAAACTACCGTCCGGGTATAAATATTGAATAAACATAGTTTATATAATACTAAACAGTTATAATAAATGAAGTTAACTATAATCATATAACTAAAGATTAATAAATAGATACAGTTCCTCTAAATAACCATAATTAATAAAATGACAACTAATTCTAATTATCACCCTAGCACCCATAACCTCTGATGGCAAGCCGTTCCACTGGTTAATTGTTCTCACTGCCAGGAAGTTTCTCCTTTAATTCTTGCTTAGGTCTGGCCGATATGTCTCCTTGGACTAAATCAGAATGTTAGAAGGGACCTTGGAGATCTTCTAGCCAAGGGCTTTTCAACCTTTTCACCCATTGTACCACTTTTAGGATACAGCAACATCCGAGTACCACCAGTCGCCTAGCAAGGTGTCAAAAATTTGATGACCCCCCCCCCAAAAAAGGAAAAAAGTGATAAAGTACAGGTAGTCCTTGACTTATAACAGTTCGCTTAGTGACTGTTCGAAGTTACAATGGCACTGAAAAAAGTGCCCCCCAAGCCACAGCTGAGCAAGACACCTGCCTGCCCGCCCGGCGGCGCTCTTCCTCCTGTCCGAGGTTTTCATTGTTGTGAGCATTTCTGTTGAGGATTGGCAGCAGGGGTGGGGTGGGGGGTGTTTGGTTTTTATTCCCCCCGTCTGTTGGGTGGTTGCAGCAGGTTTTGGTCACTTCACATGACCCTGGGACACTGTGACCGTCATAAATATGAATCTGTTGCCAAGCATCTGAATGTAAATCACAAGACCCTGGAGAGGCTGCAACATTCCAGCTGATCGGCGCTTCTTCTGGACTCAGCAGAAGCGCCAGGATCAGTGCTGCTTTCCAGCTGATTGGTACTTCAGGGCTTAGCAGAAGCACCAGGATCAGCGCCGAGCTCCAGCTGGAGCCTGGCGCTGATCCTGGCGCTTCCGTTGAACCCGGACAGCCCTGCATCTCCAGCCATCTCTCGCTCAGGCTCGTACAGTGCTGCCACCGGTTCAGCTCATTCCCCTCCCCCACTACCACTTTTCTAGGATGGTCACGTATCACCTGCTAAGTGCCAATGTACCACAGGTGGTACCCGTACCACTGGTTGAAAAGCCCTGTTCTAGTCCAACCCGCTACTCAAACAGGAGACCCTATGTCAGGAGTCTTCAAACATGGCCCTTTGATGACTTGTGGACTTCAACTCCCAGAATTCAACTCCCAGGCACGCTGGCTGAGGAATTCTGGAAGTTGAAGTCCACAAGTCATAAAAGGGCCAAGTTTGAAGACCCCTGCTCTAAACCAAGAGGGAAAAACACCACCCCTGCCCCCAGACAAGGTGCATTTCAACTGTCCCTCCAAAAACTCTCCTTGAAACTCTCCTTTCTTCATCTTTGGGGGGCCCCAAGGTGTCCTTTCGATGACGTGGTCCAAGAAAGCCAGAATGACAGAATTTGAGCGCTGAAGCTCCTATGGGGTCCCTGATGTTCTTTGACTTGGTTGTTTCCTTGCAGACGTTTCATGACCCAAGTAGATAACATAATCAGTGCTAGAAGGGAGTGAGGTTTTTGGAGTGGAGGAGGAGGAGGAGGAGGAGGAGGAAGACGACGACGACGACTGTGGTATCTTTGTTACTCTCTGAGCTTGTGGTTTTCTTGCACAATTTTCCTTACCCAAATAGGTAACATCACCAGTGCTGTAAGGGAGGGGGGGTTTTGCTCTGTTTATATTCAGGTGGGTTGCTGTGTGTTAGAGGGAGGGTTATTTTCTTTCTGTTGTTTACAAGGGCAAGCTACTTGTATAGAATCAGAAAGAAAACCCCCACTCCCTTCTAGCACTGAAGATGTTACCTATTTGGGTAATTAAATGTCTGTAAGAAAAGAGCCAAACTCAAGAGTACCAAGCATCCTTCCTCCCCTCCCCCCTCCCCCTCCTCCTCCTCTCTGCAAATTGCCCTCCCTTCTAGCACTGATGGTGTTACCTGGCTGGGTAATTAAATGTCTGCACGAAAAAAGCCAAACTCAGGGTATAAAGCAGTGGTGGCGAACCTATGGCACGCGTGCCAGAGGGGAGGCACTCGGAGCCCTCTCTGTGGGCACGTGCGCCTCGTTCATTGGCTAAGTTTTCGCAGGAAAAAGCCATTTCTCCAGCCCCTTCCTAGCGAAAACAAGCCTCCGGCACGAGCGCGCTGTTTTCAGCTTTGAATTAATATCAAATCTGACCCCAGAAACAGACTAACAGACGACCTGAGTGCTGCATGCGTTGCTTTCAAACTTACAAAGTATAAGCCAAGGTTGGACAAACTATCAGCAGGCATACAACAGCAAAAATCACATTAATAATCGTTCAAAAGCATGCCGAATGCAAACGTTTACCTTTAATTAAAAGGTGGTTTGTATCATTGAAAGCTTTGTTGTTGTGTTTTTCTTGTAAGACAAAAGATGTTAATGTATGAGTTGTTTTTTCTAAACTAAAGCCTCAGCATTCAGATTAAATTGCCGTTTTGGCACTTTGCGATAAATAAGTGGGTTTTGGGTTGCAGTTTGGGCACTCGGTCTCTAAAAGGTTCGCCATCACTGGTATAAAGTATCCTTCAGTCGTCGTCTTCCTCCTCCTCCTCCTCTAGGAGGAGGAGGAGGAGGAGGAGGTCCTCCTCCTCCTCCTCCTCCTCTCCCCAAGCCCTCCTCCCTTCTACCACTAATGATGTTACCCGGCTGGGTCACGAAACATCTACAAAAAGACCACCAAGCTCAGACAGCCCCAAAATGCCTGCTTATTTTTGTTATTTACTAAACTTACATTTTTGTGCATCATTGTAATTTAGCACTTAAAAAGAGGCTCATCCACTTTTCAACCCCACCCAACAAAAACTCCCCCTTTTCCTTTGCTGGTTTATTTCCTCCTGATTTTGAGAAAAAAAGGGGATTGAAGCCTTGACCAAAATGGCTTTGTGCTAATTAACCCTTCTTGGCTGACTTGAGCTCTTTGGGATGTCCGCAGATTGTAGGGACTGGCGAGGAAGACATGGTGAGCCTGATCCGTTCCTATGACGATCTGAGCCGCAAGCTTTGGCACCTGAAGGGGCTGCCCTTGACGGTGACGGCGGTGCAAGGAGCCCACCCCGCCCTTCGATACACAGAGGTGAGTTAATGGAACACTGCATCCAGTTTTGGTCACCACGCTGTAAAAAAGATGTTGAGACTCTAGAAAGAGTACAGAGAAGAGCAACAAAGATGATTAGGGGGACTGGAAGCTAAAGCATAAAGGCTGCTGGAATTGGGTCTGTCTAGTTTAATGGGGAGAAGGACGAGGGGGGACAGGATAGCAGTGTTCCAGTATTTCAGGGGCTGCCACAAAGAAGAGGGAGTCAAGCTATTCTCCAAAGCCCCTGAAGAAGGCAGGACAAGAAGCAACGGATGGAAGCTAGTCAAGGAGAGAAGCAACCTAGAACTAAGGAGAAACTTCCTGACAGTGAGAACAATTAGCCAGTGGAACAACCTGCCTCCAGAAGCGGTGAATGCTCCAACACTGGAAGTTTTTAAGAAGAAACTGGACAGCCATTTGTCTGAAATGGTATAGGGTTTCCTGCCTGAGCAGGGGGTTGGACTAGATGACCTCCAAGGTCCCTTCCAACTTTATTATTATTATTATTAAGTGCCATGAACAGAAGGTGCTGGGAGGGGGTGGCGACCTATGTAAGATGCCTTTGGAGGTACAGGTAGTCCTTGACTTACAACCACAGTGGAACCCAAAACGTCTGTCGTGAACAGGGACACCTGTTAAGTGAATTTGGCCCCATTTTACGACTTTTCTTGCCACAGTTGTTAAGCGAACCTCTGCCGTTGTTAAGCGAGGAACACAGTTGTTAAGTGAACCTTGGCTTCCCTGTTGACTTTGTTTGCCAAAAGGTCGCAAAAACCCGGAATATATCGGTCGTAGGTACAAGCCAGTTGCCAAGCATCTAAATTTGGTCACGTGACCCCCGGGGAGGCTGCAGTAGTCGTAAGTGTGAAAAATGGCCGTGAGTCCCTTTTTTCAGTGCCGTTGTAACTTCAAGCGGTCACTAAATGAACTGTGGTAAGTCAAGGGCTACTAGCTATGTTGGGAGGAGGCCGGAAGGAAGAGGTCTCAGGAACTTTGGCATCAGGCTGACACCGTCGAACAGCTATTATCCTCTCCAGGTTGAAGTTCTCAAGCTGGTCGGCTGTCCTACCTAGATCAGGTTGGATGTCACTGTTTTCTGGGGTGACTATCGTGTTTCCCCGAAAATAAGACCCAGCCAGAAAATAAGCCCTAGCGCAGGGGTCGGCAGCCTCGGCTCTTTTATGACTCCTGGACTTCAACTCCCAGAATTCCTGAGCCAGCATGGCTCAGCTTGAAAACCTCTCTCTTTTCCCTCAGCATGGCTGGCTCAGGAATTCTGGGAGTTGAAGTCCATGAGTCATAAAAGAGCTGAGGTTGCTTACCCCTGCCCTAGCGTAATTTTTTAACGGGTGGAGCTGCACTGCACAGCTCAGGCCCCTGCAGCCAGGCCACCCACGCCTCGTCACCTGCCTCGCCTCATCTCGTAGCTGCTGCACCGATGCGCTGCGCGGCTGCCTACCCCGTTGCAGCCGCAAGCAACCAGACGGTGGAAGGGAGTGGGCTGCCGGTCACACAGGCTCCTGCTGGACAGGGCTGCTGTTGTTGGTGTTGCTGCCGCGATGTGGAGCGTGGGTGGCTTGGTTGTGGGGGCCATGAGGTGCGTGGGGGCGTGGGGTAGCTCCACCCCCCTGCCAGCTGCCTCGCCTCACCTCGTGACGGTGGCACCGGCGTTCTACGCAGCCATCCGCCCTCTGTGTCCCACCGTCTGCTTTCTCGCAGCCACAACAGGGCAGGAGGCCGCGTAGCACACTGGTGCCATTGCCACAAGGTGAGGCGAGGGGGGTCCTGCCTTCAGGCACTTTGGAGAATAGCTTGACTCCCTCTTCTTTGTGGCAACCCCTGAGATATTGGAACACTGCTATCATGTCACCCCTTCTCTTCATTAAACTAGACGTTCCCAATTCCAGCAACCGTTCCTTATATGTTTTAGCCTCCAGTCCCCTAGTTATCTTTGTTACTCTTCTCTGCACTCTTTCCAGAGTATCAACATCTTTTTTATATTGTGGTGACCAAAACTGGCTGCGGTATTCCAAGTGTGGCCTTACCAAGGCATTGTAAAGTAATAATAATAATAATAATGATAAAGTTGGAAGGGACCTCGGAGGTCATCTAGTCCAACCTCCTGCTCAGGCAGGAAACCCTATACCATTTCGGACAAATGGCTGTCCAGTTTCTTCTTAAAAACTTCCAGTGTTGGCGCATTCACCGCTTCTGGAGGCAGGTTGTTCCACTGGTTAATTGTTCTAACTGTCAGGA